AAATTTTATTTTTTATTTAATATATAAATTTATTAAAATTTTTTTATTTTAATATTTTTATTTATTTTGTAAATATTTTAATTTTTTTAATTTTAATATTTTAAACTCAAAACACAACTTCACACTCAAATCGTAACCAAACACATAACAAAAAAATTAAAATATTTAAAAATATATTTATAAAATAAAAAATATTTTTTTAAATTTTTAATATTTAAAATATTTAAAAAAATACAGCACATAAATGTATGAAATATAGTGCACATTAAATAAATAAATAAATAAATATTTAAAATATAAATATTTACCCTAAAAAATAAAATTAAGAAATTTTTTAAATATTTAAAAAAGATAAATTCAAAAAATTTCAAAATACAACTTAAAACTCTTTTCAAAACTCATAATTCAAAACACAACTCTACACTCAAATAATGATTCTAAAAATAATTTTAAAACAAAATAAAAAAATATTTTAAAATATTTTTCTTTTAAAAATAGAGTTTTGAAAAGAGTTTGGTTTTGAGTTTTGAATTGAGTTTTGAGTTGTGTGTTTGGTTATGAGTTTTGAAAAGAGTTTTGAAATTTTTTGATTGGAATTGTGATTCCAAAAGAGAACCACCAAACATGGCCTGAAATTTTCTTGAATCTAATTTTTCTAATACGGTTGTCAAAAGCTTGATAATAATATATGTATTCTCTTGAAGATGACAATCTTGATTTGGGACATGTTTATGAAATTATTGGCTTAGTTTAGTTCCATTTGTATTGAGTTTCATCTTACTTTTATGTCCCAGGTAATCACAGGATTCGAACCAAAAGAGCGATGTTTGCTTCTTAAGTTTGTAACAAGTTGTTCTCGAGCTCCTTTACTTGGGTTCAAGTACTTGCAGCCAACCTTTACCATTCATAAGGTATCACCTTTGATTTTACATCTTTGTTGGACAAAAGAACCGAGCGTTCACTAAAATCTTCTTAGTCAATTATATCATTCTTGTTTCTAGTTTCATGAATTGTTTTTTAAAATGATTTCTGTTGTGTACTTCTCTGAACATCAAAATGTCAGATTTTATTGGATACTTATGTCATATCTATTTGTGAATATGTTTCTTGAATATAATCTTAGTGTTGATTATGCTATGATCACTGCTAAAATACAATGTATTATTTGTTCAATGAGCATGGACGGAAGTGTGTAAAAGAATTGACAGACAACAACCAACTGTATAAAGTTTATGGCTCATGTTATACCTAGGTTAACGAGTGTAATTCTTGCTCTTGTTTCCGTTAGATTGTTTATGCAAATATACTTGCATAAATGTTATCTATGTATGTTATTAAACAAAAAGAGAGGGTAAATATGAGAGAGTTAGCTGTTTAGAGATGTAAGAAATTTTAGGAACATACATACGTACATTGGGGCAATGTTGGGCTTGGGGTGCGGTTGGGGATTCCAGGTTGTGGCCTCTGTGTTCCCTGCCCAAAATTGCAAAATCACTTTGATTGGTTATGTGATTTGGAGGTATACAACGGAAAGTTATCCAAACCATAGGTGTTTTGTATTTTTTCACCCGGGAAGGGGGGGTTGGGATTAACCAAAAAGAAATAGCAGCCTCCCATGAATCCTTTCACAGTTACTGCAAAACACTATTATGTCTCAGGCTCTTTCAGCCTCGGTTCCTTTCATACTGAATTAGTGGTGGGAAATTGGAATTCAAGGTGCAGCCACTACTCAGACTAGTTACTTGGATTCTTTGGGTGCCAAATAATTGTCTTTTTAACATTGAAATTAATTGGTGATTACTAGTCCTCTCTCTCACTTCATATGTTTTGTTTCTATTAAGATCCCATTTACCAGCTATGTTTTCCTTTCTTCTTTATGATTGTTAGTCATAAGAAAAATTGTATACTGAATTAGGAATTTGAAATGATATAGGTTGCATGCGATGTGCCGCTTTGGGCAACATTTGGAGGGCAGGATGTGGACCGGCTTCCATCAGCTTCTACATGCTACAATACTCTCAAGGTACTGTCTCTGCTTCTCATCAATTTAACTTGCAAAGATCAGACCCAAAATGACTTTTTAGGCTAATATTCATCTCTTTCATCTGACTCAGTAATCGTGTGCTTGTTTTCTCTCTCCTAAATTTATTGATGGATACAGCTTCCAACATATAAACGGGCAAGCACTTTGAGAGCAAGCTTCTATATGCTATCAATTCTAATGCAGGATTTGAACTTTCATAGAAATCCTGAAAACTTACTTCTTCAGGTAAGTTTCACCTTTCTCCAAGCTTAACCCTGTATTGGATTCTAGACTATGCCAATGATGGAAAAGCAGTACTTCGTCAGATAAATAGATTAAGCTGCACAAAAGTTTTGAAATGCATTGACAATTTAAATTAAAGAATTAGGTTCAATATGCCCTTCTTTTTTTTTTCTCTTAAATTTTTTAAAATTTTTAATTTTTAATTTTTTTTTTTTTAATGTTTTATTTTATGTCTTTGTTCTTTTCCAAATCATACTTAACGACAAAGTTTGGAAATAGAACTTTGGAAATAGAACTTTAAAATAATCCATGGCACGTTTCTTTGCAAAATGGTAATTGCTAGAGAATGAACCACACATTAATCATAATACAGCCATAATTTTTTTCCCCCCCCCATCAAAGCAAAAAATAGGAGAAACACACGTTGACCCTCTCCTCATACCCAATGTTTACAAACATAATACCATGAGAAACTAACACTCAAAACAACTAAATTCACCCAAACCACCTATAAATTTCTCATAGCAACTGTTATTATGTACAAGTAGACGATAGAAGTGGAAACTAGAGGATTGTTTCAACTGTATAGTGTACAGTTCAAGAGACAAGGGAGATTCCCTGTTCAAAAGAGCTGATGCTAAGACTTGGTTAGCTGCTTCAGAGGGATGAAAACCATCCCAAAACACATACTGTGTAGCATTTGAGCATGTCCCTACAGACCTGGCATTGCAAAGCATGGATGTTTCAATTGTACCCGTCCCACAGCAAGCCCTCCTTGATTCAAAGAACCCTAAGAATATGGTTGTGCATGAAATTTGAATCAGTTTACCTCGTTATTTTGGGTGTGTGCATGTGAATGTTTGGTGTGTCTGTTGAGAGAGACAGAATGAGAGAGAATTCTTGTATAGGTGAAGATATATGAATCAAACATAAATACAACTTTGAAACAGTAACACTTTCTGGGAAGTAAAAAACATTTCAGAAGATCTTGATTCACATACTTTTGATTTGTTCAAAACCTGAAGGCAGCACAGTAGAAATCTCTCATAGGTTTTGGGATAGATTTACTGATTCGATGAGTAAAAATTGATTACTTATCCCCCTCCTCACACGTACAACAGAAGAGAAGAGATATCAATGCTTGCTTGTTTCGGCAAAAAATTGTTTTTTGGAAAAATGTTTTTTGCATTTGCATTTTTTGGCGATTAGTATGATAGAAAATGAAAGTCAATGGAGAACATTTTATATGGTCAACAAAAAAACAAGCTCATTTGAGTGGAAAGTATTTTTCACTTTTAAAGGTGGAAAACATTTTCCAATCTAGAATCTTATTAATGCTACCACACTAGTGCTACCATCATCACCCCCACCATTACCACCTTCCACCCAGTGTTATCAGAGGCGCGCCTAAGCGCTAAGCGAGAGGTGAGGCTGTAGCGCTTCATGCACACTGAGGCGAGGCGAAAATGGTGAGGCGAAGGAGAAGCGCATGAAGCGAGGCTTAGGCGATGAAGCGAGAGGCGAAACGAAGTGACGCTTCACCAGATTTTTGCCTGATTTCAGTTCGAATCATCTGGGCCCTTCATTTGGATGACTTTTGTGCAATTTATGGGCATGCGTTGCACTTTATAATTGCTTTCTACTAAATAAGAAGTCGAAAACCCTAAGTCGACTTCGTTCAAGTCGACATTGAAAGGCATATCCAAAGTCGACTTCACTTGGGTCTTCTTCTTCCTTCTTCCGACGTCGTTTCAGTCGATTATTAGAGATGAGTTCTTGCTCTTCTTCTTCTTCTTCTTTCTTCTTCTTCTTCCTTTCTCCTTTCTTCCCTTCGTCCTCTCTCTCCTGCTGCCGTTGATTCTTTCTTCTTCCTTTCTTCATTTTTTTTTTTTGTCTTCAAGAACACTGTCCTTCCTTTTTTCATTTTTTTCTTCGTCTTCAAGAACACTGTCGGACCCCCCCTCCTTTTTTTTTTCTTGGTTATTTTAATTTGTTTAATTATTTTTCTATGTTATTTTACAATTATTTTGCTATGTTAATTGTGTAATTATTTTGCTGAAAAAATTTCAATTAATTTTGTTGAAAAATTTCAATTATTTTGCTGAAATTTTAATTATTTTGCTGAATTTTTTTAATTATTTTGCTGAAAAAATTTCAATTAATTTTGCTGAAAAAATTTCAATTATTTGCTGCTAAAAAATATGTTTTTTAATTTCTTTATGCTGAAACATTGAATTGCTTGTTGGATAGAATTAGATGTCGAAGTCGAGTGAAAGTAAAAAAGATCTGGCATGGCAATATGCACGGATGGTAAATCCCAAAAACCTTGTTTATGGATATTTAGTATTTGGAATGATAACTGCATGATGGTTCTTGAAAATATTTATATTTTTGTCTATACCATTTATTTAAAAAAAATATCTTTTCTGGTCGCCTCAATTTGATGAAGCCCTCGCCTCACCTTATCGCCTCGCGCTTAGACACTAGGAGACCTTGTTGTCTCGGTTCGCTTTTCGCCTTAAAAAAACACCGCTTCCACCACACCACCCCACCCCACCCCACCCCACTATGACGACCATTACCATCTCTACCACCACCCACCACCGCTACCTCCACCACCATCCCGCCCCACTAACTTCATCACTAATACAACCACTAGCTTATTAGTTTCAAGCTCTATTATCAACATCTTATGATTTGCAATTCGATTCGCAATTTTCGCAAAATCAATACGAATCTATGGGTGAATCTATTTTGGAAGTAAATCTCTAGTGAATCGCACGATTAACAATCGATTCACTTTTTACGATTTATGCAATTCTTGAAACTATCGTGTCCGACATATCTTCAATTCTTTTTTCTTTCACTTTTTTGTAAAAATGACATACTACAACTTTTAATAGCGGTTAATGCCAAAATAACCAATATAATACATGATTTGTTATTATTTTAGTGATCATGGAGTTTTTAATAGGATCCAATAAGATTCAACATGTTTTTAATATTTCTTCTCATTTTTTTTTATTTCTTTTTTTTAATATTTAAAATCATAATGTATCTTCTAAAAACGTTTAAGATTAAAGTAACTTATATCATGAATTATCTATTGCTATTTATTAAATTAAATATAGTTGAATATACATAGGTGAGGTCAGTTATACATTGTAAAATGTTTTATGCTTTAAAATAAAAGATCCTAAATAATTCTTTCTTATTATTTGGTCATTGTTATTTGAAAAAAGTATGTATACTTATTATCTAAATGTCAATATCATTGTCAAATTATTGTTACTTTGAAAATTGGAAGTTTGTGTTTGTTTACTGTCTTTTATTAAGAATAGTTGATAATAAATATCTAAAAAAGAAAAAAGGTTAGATAGTGATCTCATCTCACATAGAAACATTTGTTAACTTATTACCTATAAACTACGTGATCATCATTCGAAACAACATTTCATTGATTTAAGTCTAAAATATTTTATATTTATAAGATATATGTAACATCCAAGTGTGTATATATAATTTTCTCAGTAATTTAGAAAAAAGTGACCGAATCTTTACGATTCACAATTCGATTCGATTCGCGATTCAGTACGAGGCCATTTCGATTCACGATTCGAATCTCAATTTGACAACTATAGTTTCAAGGTGGCAACCAAGCAAAAGATTTATATAATATTGTTTGTGGAAAAAAAAATTTCTGTTGGAAAATGTTTTCCTCTGAAATAAATGGACCACAAATGTTTATTACTTTTTCATGACAAAATAATTGGCTAAATAATGTGGAAAAATAGGCTCATACCGCTATCAGTGGGTTTCATGACCAGGTTCAGCAGAGGCTGGTAGATATCAAGGACCACAAGTTTGAGACCAGGGAGCCTTTTCTGCAAGTCTTGGATGTGCTGTTTAGCTGCTTGTTGAAGGAAATGGCATCTTGGTTCAGAGCCTCGCAACGCACTGGTTACTCCCCGACCCAAACATTGTGATGGCTGCTGGCAAGCATCCAGTTGGTGGTAATGTTGTCACTCCGATCTTCCTTATGCCCAGGCCATACAGATTCTATCACAAGGTAATGTTGATATGAAATATGTTCATGATGTCCTTAAAATGCGTACTCTTTGAAGTTTGTATATGGTCAAGCTTTGTATTAAAATTCTCAAAAACTACTAATCCACATTGCGATTTAAAAACATATGCTACTACTTGAGTGATTTTGTAATTAAAAATCAACATCCTAATTACTTTTTGTGTCTAATTTAGTTTCATCTCATATTTTCGTATATCTGTTTTGTATTAATAGTACTATCAATTATATCTACAGCATCATTAACTATACATCTATGTATGTGTATATGTGCTATTTCAGTGGAGATCATGAAATAGAACCTGGACAAAAGTAGAGTAGGATCTGATGAGAAGGTTGGAGAACCGATCAGGGGTGTAGGCTCTGTTGAGTATGGGGTTGATGTAGTAGTTTTGAATGAAGTCACTGCCTTCCTGCACTCAGGAGGTGGATTCCACCTGAGAACATGGCATTGGCTCTGTCTTTTCCTACCATCGTCACTACTTTGTTTTGGTATTCCTTGTAGTATGCTAGCTGCTGGGGAGTGAAATAGCACGCTACAAAAAATCAAACAAGTTGCACAACCGTAAAATACACACACACACAACACACATATATAGAGAGAGAATTAAGTTGTGTGATTATTACATAGAACTGTGCTGTGCTGTCATAATAACCAGAACCAGGCTGAGGCAAAGTTGCACCGGTCAAGAGGTTCGTCCCTTGGGCAATCCTGGCTAAGGTAAGCTGGAGGGTAGGAGGTGAACCCGAGGTACTTGCTGTGCACAAAGAGGACATTAAGGAACACACACACACGCACAGATGAGAGAGAGAGAGAGAGAGAGAGAGAGAGAGAGAGAGAGAGATGGGTTTTATTGGAGAAATATTATACCGGTGAAGTCTTGGCGAGCTTTCCATGCAGAACCGCCCAGTAAGGTTTGTGGGTAACAAAGTCCCTACCATAAGGAGGGAAGTTAGCCTTGAGGAGTGTGGTTAAGGTTGTTTGTTGTTCCCCACATCAAACTACAGAGTCCCCAAAGATGCACAATATGGAACTAGAGGGTCCCCATGAGCCACTAAGAGAACCATAGCTACAGCAAGAAAGATACTCAAGAGACTACTAGGAAACCCCATAGTCGTTTCCCTTGCTCCAAACAGTGAAAACTCACCAGGAGAGAGAGAGAGAAGAGAGAAGGATCAGGGAGTGATGAAAGTGAAGGGACAGGTGGGGAGAATTTATTTAAGGAGAGAGCTCTTGCAAGTAACAATAATTTTATGTACACAGAATAAATCACAGAGATAAAAATAATCTGGTCATACATAACAGATGGTGGGATCTGCTATCAAAGAGGCAGTTTCACTCGTATTGTTTTACGTGTGGTTCTATGTTCATAGACTTATTGTGCAAGTAATGGCCAAAGTGAAATAATTTCTAGGTGAGGAGGTTAGGGTTTTATTAAAGTTGCACATTGCCAGGAGGGAGGAGGCATTTTTAGCACCTTTAAATGTGGTATAGATGTCCACATTATTGTTAGGCTAAAGTAAAGTGCTTTCTAAATTTGTCCCAATGTTGTCTGTTGTGAGATAGAAGGCATGTTTAGTTCCTCTTAAAGGTGGTGATATATGTCCTTATTATTGTTAGGATGACAAATAAAGAGCCTTTTGAATTTGTCCCACGCTTGTTTGTTTGTTTTTGAATGGTGACAAAGGACTTGGTTTAGAGCCTTAGCCAATTTAAGAGAGCTTGAAGAAAAAAAGTAGGGTGCTTTGTAAAGCTATTCCAAAAGTGCAACTAACAAAGAAATACACAAAACGGAACACAGACACTTGCAATTTGTGATTGATTTTGTACTAGTAGGCGTTAGATAGCTATCACATTGTGCACAATGCATCACAACATTGATTGTGTAAGCATCACAATGGTCTGTTACAGAAATTTATTGATTATATCATAAATTCTTACTATCAAAAACCATAACCGAACTATACAAAAAATGAATGAACAAAATAATTACATATGCAATATGCAAATTAAAATGTAGTAGAAAAATTTAGCAAGTGAATTTGGGAGGCTGACAAGTCATTTTCCTAAAGCTATTATTATTGTTTTATGCAAAAAATATTAACTACTCCAATGCTCAACTCATATCACTGTCATGCCTCCAATATGAAGAATTGCATATGATCAAAGTTGTCCATAAAATGAGAAGAGAGTGTTGTAGAGTCCTAGGTATTTTGATAGACTTTGATAGTGACTATTCATGAAAGTCACAACTATCAATGTTGTAGTTTGTTTATAAAAAGACGTCTTTCCTAAGGAGCAGCAACATTTAAGGAAGTTTAAAAATTCTCATACTTCCAACATTGCTCATGCAATTATATGCTAATAGTGAGGTGTGTAATTTTCATATTCATGGAGGGTCTCTAAAACATTTTTTAATATTTTAAAAAAATAAATCCAAAAAATTCAAAATATAACTCAAAATTCAAAAACTCAAAACTCAAAATACAACTCAAAACTCAATTCAAGACTCAAAACTCTTTTCAAAATTCAAAATTCAAAATTCAAAAACTCTTTTCAAAAATCTTTTCAAAACTCATAACCAAACAAATTTTCTGTTTTCAAAATTTAACTCACAATTCTACACTTAAATCACAACTCCACACTCAAATCATAATTCCAATACTAAACCAACCAGAGCCTCAATTTCTCGACATGATTTCTCCACATGAAACCTGAATTTGTTCATGAAAACACAATTTTGTTCATGAATTTGGGTTATTTTGAGTTATTAGCATGGAAACTGACTCTGCACAAGTGGCTTTCACACACAACAAGAACGTTAAAAATCTAAATATAATAAGTACTAGGCAACAGCTATTTTGAGGTTCATACCTCCCAAAAGATTTTAATGGTCCGACTCCCTTCAGTATAACCACCAGTGTATCGTGTGTTATTTCTTAAATCATCAACATCAATGTCATGTTTCCCACCTGAAAGCAACTGCACACCATGATTATAGATCAGCATCAAAATAATAAAGTGTACTCATGCAGATGGCCTATTTACAAGAAAAATATTTGTGCCACAATCATCTCTGCACAGCAATGCATTTGAATTCTGGCTAACTTACAGAAAACTACACAGACTTCAAGAAGAGGATAATAATCTACAGAGAAATATTAATGAATTAATAAATAATAAAAAAAAGAAGAGGCTATATTGAAGCTGGTTCATGTCAATCTATATGAATTAGCCTTTTAGTTGCTGAACTTGTAATCAGTGCACTAAGCCTAACAATAACATGGCATAACCAGTGACAACTAAAACAAGTTGATTGACACCAAAAAATCTACATACCCAGTAAAAAGGGAAATACCTGATTAAATTCACTTGCATTAAATAACTTCAACCAAGATGGGGCGATAAGATCTGTCAACCCTCTATAGAATGCATTTGATAAAGGCAATATCTGCAAGTCGCCACTGAAAACCAGATAAATTGCGTAATAAAAGCAAAGAAGTTCCTAAAATTTCACAGCATAACCAATTATGTACCTGTCGGTTAAGTTTATAGTCTGCCATTGCATGAATGTACTGCAACTTGTTCTCATTTGTTACATACACATCCTTACCACCTGGTTTAAGCTCAATAATATGCCTTTTACCAAGTGATTCTTCTGTAACTGTGAAATCCAGACAGAGTTCCTTGACATCACCGTCATAATGCTGTATGGACAAAGCATGTGAGACATCAAAATTTTGAAATTATACACAAACAGTCCTACGATTGAAACCATGCATATCATGGCAAAGGTGACCTACAAAAGCTTAAAGCAAATAGATTAAAAAAATGAAAATAGCATCCAAAATTCAAAGCAGAGTCAACCAAGGGATCTATAATGCCCTAACCCATATATACAAGTCAAACATCTTAATGCCTGCCCCATCTTTCCAGTCTGTCAAGCATGTTATCATCATTTCAATGTATATTTTGTATTACGAAGTCCATCCACGTCATATCTGCTTCTTCACTCACTTCTAGCACATGTACACATACCAACAGACATCAGCTAACATATGGTTTATTAGTTAATCATTGACATGACAAAGCATCATTTAGATGCTCCATTTACCAACTATTGTGGCTTGTCTTAAAAATGCAAGGTTCTAATAAATTTATTGTTCCTGCTAAGTTCATCCACGTAGACCACATCTTCTTAGCTAACAACAGCTGCCACTGTACGGCATAGGAGATCAATGTTGCTTGTTTAGAATGCAAGCGCCACACAACAATTTGGCATTATATTTCCCATTAGCCCACCTTGCTTAATTTCACCTAGCTATAAATTCATTAACTATTAATCAAATGATTGCTGATTAAATGATTGCTAACTCTGCACTTATCAAAAATTGTAACAGATTTACTTAAATTCGAAGTATGAATTGGGATCTTTATTTTACACAGCCAATTACATGCTGCATGAGAAACCTTGACAATGCAAAAATAATGAGAGCTAATGGTTTAGGCCTCTCTGCATGAATGGGGAAATTCCCATACATGTAAGCCAGCTTTCAGATCTAAGCAGAAAAGGCATTGTTGCACTCCCATTGGAAAGGGCCTCTGCTTTTAACCTTCATATGTAAATTAATGCATCAACTAGGATTTATACACACCACCCACCCTCCTTTTTCATTGAATATCCTGTATCTATCAAGAGATTTACCTTGACATACATGAGATTCCTGTAGAGCTCAGGATCAAGTGTAGATAGTTCATCAAGAAAGCTATAGCGGCCTAACAACTTTTGTACAAAAACATGTGAAAATGAATAATCTAGCAATATTCCTTCATACAGAGCTTTGCCGACAACTCTTCCAAGAAACTCAATCATCTGGATACCATTCACTAGAAATCTTGCAGCCGTATTAGGAATTAGGAGTCTGTCTGAAGTTGAGGTCTGAGAGAATAGCGCATACCTTTGACCAAAAAAAAAAAGTTGTCATTTCATCAAGCAGAGAATGTAATAACAACATTAAAGAAAATACAAGTGCATCTTAAACTTACTCAGGGGCAAAGGCTGCTTTTGCTATATCAGTCAAAAACTCCTTAGACAACCCACCATAATCCAGGCCAGCCTCTGGAAGGCCAGATTCACTAACAAATGAGACATGGATGCTAGATTTCAACCTTGACCCAAGAGAATTTAATTGTTGAAAACCATCCTCAACAATATGACCACGGCGAATTACTATCTCGACTGATCGTGAACCAGGTCCAAGAACTTCACCGGCCATTCTTCGAGATGCTTTGTCCATGTTGATAAATTCTCTGAACATTTGAACTCTGCCAAGGGATATAGATTATCAACAATAGAGGGGGAAAAGGTCATAATTGTAGAGGAGTTTTTTATGGATGTAGTCTTTGTGTCGGTTATGTATTTTCTTTCTTTGTTTCTCTTATTTGTAGAGGACGCCTTATCCTCGTCTCTTTTTTGATTAATCAATAAAATCTTTGTTGTTAACCAAAAAAAAAAGGGTCATAATTTGGCCAGCTGCATATAATATTGGGAAAGATATTTTCACACTATGAGCGAGAAATTACATACAGAAATAGCATTATGAACTAACAACAAGGGTTTTACAGGGCCTTATGTAAATAAATTGATCGAAAAGAACAGGGGAAAGGAAAAATCTGTAAATATACCCAAAAGAAAAGAGGCCCTACAGCCATTGCTTTCCACAGCAAGCATGGGTAGTTAATTGGCCAGCTGCAGGAAGAAGCCATGGCAACCAAATGGGCATTGAAAGCAACTCCATCCAATATGTGTTGGAATTAGGCTGTTGCAAGGTCAAGTACAGGTCATCCAAGGATTTATCCACAACAAAAAAAAGTACAGGTCATCCAAGGCTCAACATTCAAATTTCCTACTCTTTTTCTTTTGGGACATCCAATGAATATGCCCGCTTTGTTTAAATTTCAAAGCCACAAGGCCCCCAACACATTCTCCATCAACTTCAGATACTTTATTATCAAGATTAATGACAAGGAAATTCAATAATACCCTGGCTGTTTCAGTACCACAACTTGATCATTCATGTGGATAGAACATTACAAAAAATAACATTGAGTAAAGTTATTTCCATTTCAGCACGTCAACTTGATCATTCATGTGGATAGGCAGTCTAAACAACAACAGGCCACTAGAGTTATAGCTAGGGAATTGGTTTAGAGATTTTGGGGATTCATGATGAAGCCCTCCTCGCATCTGGTATTCTACCTGCTGATCCGGTTCTTTTTTTTTTTTTTTTTTTTTTTTTTCCACAATCTACTAAGGTCTCCTTGGATGCATATAAAAAGTTTTGAAGTACAGTTAGATTTGATAGCAAAATTCTGACTAAGATTCTTGGAGTTGTGTCCCTGTATCATTGAGTCAGAGATAATTTCTTCACAAGCATTTACCTACACTACTCTGTCAAAACTTGCAGAAGTGTCTTGGTTTGGGTTTCAGCCGAGATCACCCAGATTTAAGTGAGAAGGGATAGGCCACTTAAGCCAGAACTAGCTAAACTAGATTTACCTAGACAAGCAAGCTTGCTCAATTTGGTATGAGCAAAAATAGCATTAAAGATAATGAGGTCAAAGCCCATGTACACACCAAGCCAGAAGAGAGACAATCAACAGACCTAGAGAAATACCCCCACCCCCCAAACTCTCATGTGATTTCCAAGGAAGGCCATTGCCACAAAAAGAAACTATGCCAAAACTCTTATTCCTTTTTTTTCCTCTAAACAGACCAATATAAAGTATGACGAGCCCCTTGCTGAATAGCTCTATTTTTATATTCCTGGCACTAATTCACCAACCTGAGAGCAAATCTAAATCAATGAAAGGATGAATGACCAGCCATACATGGGAAGATAAAGCATTAACTCCTGCATCATTCGGGAAAAAAGTAAAAGATAATTCACGAACTCAGCAGCACCTAGAAGCCTCCTTACACAAAAGACATCTATTTGGGATTGGCATTTTCCCACTAATGGCAGGGCCAAGCATTAGTGTTCAGCCATAACCAAGTAAACAATGACAGCCTGGTAGGGAAAAGGAACCTGCACCTTAACACAAGGCTTTAGTCCCTCGTCAAGAAGTAAACTTCTACTCTTTGGAGGGGTTTAGTGGCTCTCTCTTCTAGTAAAGTCCTTATGATAGAAAAAGAGATCACAAAAAATATTCAAAAATCGAAACTAATAATGCTTGTTCAGCAAAAGTTGAGCAAAAATTTCTTGCAACTTATTTTTTTTATTGAAATTGCAAGAGATTGAAGGGTGGGTCTAGCGTAGCGGTAAAGCTACCCCTTGATGACCTAGTGGTCATGGGTTCGAGTTGCAGAAACAATCTCTCCGTTTGCGGGGGTAAGGCTGCATACATCAATCCTTCCCCAGACCTCGCTTAAGCGGGAGCTTCATGCACTGGCTACGCCCTTTTTAGTTGCAAGAGATTCAAAATGCGAAAGGTAAGTAGAACAAATAAGATACATCACAATTACAGAATACGAAATCAAAAGAGAATTCTATGAGTTTATTAAGTTTTACTTACCTTTCTTCAAATGGAAAGACATGTGGGGTAGTAGTGATAACGGAACCCATGCTTGGAAGGGTCAAAGCATCATCCACTCTTAGAGTAGCTGATAAAACTTCATGAGTTCTAGCAGCTACTGCGATTGGAGGCCGATTCTTTTTAGCAGGTGAAAGCCACAAAGTAGGAGGACAAAACCGGTGCCTGCAATCCCTTTCATACAACAGATGCAGGCATCGGATTGCAGCATCCATAAGAGGTTTACTATGCTGGCTGATACTATGGGACAAGGCATTATACACTAATGTATTAAGCACCGATGCAATTCTTCGTTGCTGCTCTAATGTGAAAGGAACCTAGTTCATTTCATGAAATGCTTAAGTTAATAAACAGGAGGAATGGAGAACAGGAGAAAAAGAAAATTGTGTAAATTAAAAGCAAAAGAACTGTGAATCAATTTACCTGTTTTTCATAGAACTCTATGTCATCAAGAACTAACAGCAGGTGTGAGTAGGAAGCACAGAATAGATGAAGTAGACACGAATTATCTTTTGATACACCTTCTGGACCATGCCTCAAAGGCTCTATGTCCCATATATCAGATAAATATTCATCAACCTGGTTAGGTTTAGGTTGACTCTCTACTGAACCTATATAATCAACATCTGCTTTACCAGTGATTTTATGTAATACAGCAGCCCATTTATTGGCTGCATCCTTACCTGCCCGTGTTTTCTTTCTCTCACTAACCCCGTCATTCTTTTTTCCAGAAAGATTATTATCCTCGGCAAAAGGACTTTTTCCAGGAAACATGGATCTTTCCAGTGCTCCCCATAGATTAACAAGAAATCCAGGAGTAAAAGACAGCATGTTAAGAACAGGTAATGACCCAACCACAGGATTCAGCACCGAAAATATTCTTAGCATGTAAGAATAATAATATGCAACATTAAGCAGATCACAATTCTCTAGATATACCAGATTGTTTGGCAGCGGATTATCAACCCCATGAACATAAGCATCTTTCTCCAAGGCTAGTAGTTTCAGAAGATGCCACTGCTGATAAACAGGCTTATAAAAGTCAATGTATGACATCTTCAAGGACTCACAAAATGTCCGAGTTCCGCAGAGCAGTGTATTAATAGAATCTGCAGAAGTTTCAAAATGGCACTCGAATTGTTGGTTCTCCTTTCTTATCCATCCAGCATTCTCAAACCAAGTTAGTAAGTTCTCTGAAAGGATGATGACAACATGGATATAGGAAGCACAGTCTAAGCCTTGAGTGAACTTTATAGGAATCCCAGAATTGTTGTCACTCACTGTTGCAAGGCATATAACATTTGCAAGAAGCCAACCGACTTGTGGCATCGCCTTGGAATGAGATAAGACTTTTACCTGATCCAACTCTGAAATCTCCTTCAAAATTTTCTCTTTCAGGATCTGCCATCACCTGCCATAGTTTGATCAGCTCCCACATGTTTCAATTACTACTACAAGCTAAAAAGCTAAATCAAATAAGAAATTACTACAAGAGTTCATTAATAAAAGAAGATAATTGGCAAAACAACCTTAAAACATGATGATGTAATTAACAAGAATGTGGTTGAAGCACAACACAGAAATGCAACCACACCATAGTCGTCAAATCAAGAATCAAAATTACCTTTTTCTGAATTGTGTGAATTGTATAGATTCAGCTATAATTTTTAAAATACATAAAAATATATCTGAAACAATTACATGTTAAAGATATATTATAAATATATATTACACGTTAACTTTAGATATAAATCAATAGAAAAAACTTGTTGTCAATGATGAGCACATGGTGTAATAGGTAAGACATTTGCCTCTATGGCAAGGGATGTGGATCTGATATCGAGCATGATCTATGATTTAGAGGACACAAGAATCCAAGATTCATCATACGAGAAGTTTAAAAATTCAAAATTCAAAATTTCAAATCACCAAAGTGAGATAAATTTAACACGATATGCATTCGTATATGATGATATATCCATCACAAGATTCACAACTTCATGAGTTTCAATTCTAACATTTGTATTTACATAAAAACTTGACTGTACTAAAAATTGTAAAGAACAATATCTTTTGATTTGTCTGTGTATGGAACTCCTAAAATTTTAAAATTAGTGCTTGAAAGAACTTAGGGAACACAATCTTCCTATCACACTTTTCATATATGACCAACAATGAATGTTTATATGATGAACATGTTCTAGAGGAGTAAATGACCACATCGTCTTTCTTAAAAACTGACTGTCATTCAAAATTGCTTTTCTTAGAAAGATATCTTTTATTTTATTTTATTAGCATTTCAAAACCAACTTGTCGGCTCTGTCCTAACCTCAGTGACGGTTGAAGACAAATCAGTTGGTGGTTGGTACATAGGATCATTTAAAAAATAGATAACCTTGAAACATATATAAGGTCCTTTATGAAGTAAACCCTTGAAGATCAATTCTAAAAATATTAAATATCAATTGTGCATCAATAGGATCACAAACATTTATGAAAACTTAGTATAAGTCGATGAATATTGGCATTTTTTATAAAGACAACAATGATATGTTGATTCCCACAATACCTAAAGAAGTAGATTCAACTTATGAACAAATGAATTATCTTGAGGATACTTTCAAGATTTCAATTTCAGAAATATAATATTGTTTTTGGAAGTACCTATAAATTTCATGGAAGGGATTATAGAATTTAATACTTAATAGAACATGAACAAAAGAGAACAAATCTCATAGAATATATTATCAGAAAAGATTCAAAAGAACAAAAGACTTGAAACAATACTTTTTGATTGGTCATGATCTATAAAATATCATCAACCTTTACATATATGTACAACGGTCACCGCTCACCATCCTAGTGGATGGGGAAAAAAACAAAGAATATATTAGAATCTAGGTTCTCTATTTGTTCCAACTAAATACAGTAGCTTTGCAAACTTCTCTCCATATGGATGCATTTTATCATGGCACACACCTAAACATTAGAATTAAATTGCAGTTTCTCTAGGTGATGTTTTCTATACCTTACAGATGCACATTTTCCGGCCTATGGAACAGATACTTGTGAGCACAAATCTAAAAATTACAGTGAGATTTTGTTCACACTCCAAGGAACATTACCAGTATAGTCCTGAAGCAAGGTGATAAAATAGACTTGTGCTGCAGAGCAGGTAAGAGCGCTGCAGGTAGGCGTTGAGCAAGCCAAGGGATTGTAAGTAGAAACGCACAGTACTGCTCAGCAGCATAATGCCCATCCAAGTCGCTGAGGTCATTTAAGTTTGCAGTTTGAATGGGACGTAAAACTAAAGTTAGTGCAGTTGCAGTAATCAAGAACCGATCATCAGTTGGGCTAGAACAATTCATTTGCAAAGAAAAAGGAGCATCCAAATTTTCAGTGTAGCTTCTAACATGATTGTACAGTCCACTTTTCTTACTCCCCATAAACTGAATCAAATCCTTCACTGCTATGTCTGCATCCTGAAGTTTATCATCAGCAATGCTTTTCCAACCCTTCAGATCAGTCAAGACAACGGCAAGACGCATTGCTAGAGATGTAAGAGCAACAATATCTTGACTCGCTTGGTGGGAGTTGTCACATTTTCCAAGAATAAATAAGCATAGAGAAATGAGCCTCCGTGCTTGATAAATCCATACCCTTCTTTCTTCTACTGTACCTATTGCCAAAGAGCAGAAATTTTTCTGTGGGTCTGCAAATCGAGGACAATAAGAAGATCAGTACATTCGCAGTTTAATCATCTGCATAAATTAAGCAGACAATTTGAGAAAATATACCAGAAAGAATATCCAACGTCTTTTGGCAATTAGATTTAATATAAATGACGACGCTATAAGCAGGTAAATGACAATATTGATAATCACCCAAGGAAAAAATCATGTCAGCATAATTACCTAAGAAACTACGGCAAAGTGTTAAGTACCCATACAAGTGACTGGACTTCACAAATCACAACAGGAACAGAGAAAATAACCTGAAACACTAAGGTAGTGTTTGGTTCACTAGAATGGAGTAGAATGGAATTATCATTCCATTAAAATATTCATTCCCATGTTTGATTGACTAAAAATAATAATAATAAATACGTTACAAATGGAATCATTATTCACCATTGTAAGAGAATGATCATTTCATAGGAAAGCTTAAAGAATGATCATTTCATTTCATTCTATTCCATTTCATTCCAATAAACCAAATAGAGCATAAGTATAATGTCAACAATTGAAAAGGTAGAATAACGGTATACCGGTTGAGTTCATGCTTTCCAATAAAATTCTGAAGCAAGTCCGCATACAATATATGTCTTGAGTTTGTATCTTCTGACATCGAGTTGATAAACATGTAACAAAGAAAAGAAAAGGTCTCAAGAAACTGTTTGAAATCCATGATCTGGTTACGGAAATGGCATGACAGTCCACCATCATTGCCCACTCCTCTTGGAGCTGTCCAGCCACTATCTTCGTCACACTATACCGCCTCCAAACTTTCTGCACGATTCAAGTAGTTATTTTCCAAATGATTAAATTCACTGTGGGCCTCTGTTTCATTTTGGTCCATAATTTGGACCTGACTTATTCAATTCGTGCTTAAATTAATGGTCCCAGTACCATTTCCAAACAATTTGGTCTAAATTTAGGCTATAACATTAGCGCAAAAAACTGCGATAGGACATTTAAACATAAATTGGGATCAAATTGACACAACTGTATTATCACATAGACTATTTAACCCATTAAACAAATGAATGCACCTGGATAAAGATCGCAGATGCCGTAGCCCGGCGCGTATAATTACGGAGCTCCCTTTCTTGGGAGACCCTCTCAAGAAGAGCATCCCTTGTAATCTCCTTCACACTCGCTCCTCTCAATGAAACCTGATCGACCAATCAATTACCCAATCAACCCAACTTCAAATCAATTGAAAAAGATACAACTTAATCAACAAATCAAGTAATTAATAGAGAAAAAGACGATAATCAAATCCAAAGAAACAAACCCAGATTCATTTATAAACAGTTAGATTTAACACTTCGGGGAACTAAATTCAGATAATTGAAGTTTATATATAACATGTATTGTTTAGATATACACAAGCAGGGATAGAGGGAGAGAGAGAGAACCTGGGTTTTTCTGGGTTTGTCCATGAAGGTCAGGGAGGACTACCAAACATAGGTCTTCTTGTAGTTGTGAGCTTGCTTGAGGTTGGGGCTGAGATTATAAATGTGGGTATATATCAATTTGTCAAAGACTTGATAATTCTATCCAGAGTGAGCATGAAGAAAAGAACAAATATCATTGTGATGATCGTTCCCATCCATTATCTCGCGCTTGTTTGGTAAGTTCCATAAAGGTCTGTATTTTTTAAGGTCTGTATTTTTTATTGAAGGGTAAAATTGTAAACACATTGTGAGATTACTTAAGACAGGTTGCTCTTTGGGCTCTTTTGGGAACAATGGTAAAAAGCCAATTTTTTGGTTTTTTAGCTTTTTTTAGCAAAACAAGCCAGCTTTTTTATCCAAAACAACCCAACTTTTTGCCAAAAAAGCCACTAAAAAAGTCAAAAAATCAAAAAGTCAGCTTTTTACCAACTTCCCAAAACACCCCTTTATCATCTGAAAAGCAGAGATGATGCTACCGACGCTAATTAATATATATATTAGTGTATTAATTAGTGCTATAACATTATTATTAAACATATTTATTATATAAGTTATATATATTTAAAATTATACAAATAATGTCATATCATCTGTTAATATATTAATATGTATATTAATTAGTACATATAGTATTATTTGAAAAATTATAAATATTTTTTTTGGTGAAGCATCAATAAGTCTCAAAATATGATTTTGTGCACGGTTTAGTCCTTCATTTTTATTTTTATTTTTTATGAACCCAAATGTCTCATTAAAGTAAAAATTACATAAAAGGGTAGTCACTTACATGTTTTGGTTTAATTTTTTACGGATAAAAGTGGGTTTCTCAAAATGTAAAATTACACATTTAGACAATTTGAACCATAGAGTTTTGGATTTTCCCTCATTTTAGAACAAATCTCATATTACGAACAAAAACTTAACGCTCTAATGTAACACTTCAATAACGTAACACTTCGATGCAACACACTAAAAAACTCATTGATATACTTTTCTCAAACGTAATAATGTAACACTCAAAAAAAAAAGTTTGGTATATTTTTCTCAGACGTAACGCTTTAATGTAACACACACAAAAAAGAAAAAATTCTTAGTGTATTTTTTCCAAACGTAACACTTAAATGTAACATACTCCAATATAGCATACAAAAATACTAAAAAAACTTCTTAGTGTACTTTTTCCAAATATAACACTCACAATTTGAAATTATACATTTGCCTAAAACTTGTTAAGGAATATTTGTACTCATTTTGGAATAGTTTGAAAAATCTCACACCTTTCTTTTTTTAATGTTACATTGGAGCGTTACGTTTAGGAAAAATACACTAATTTTTTTTTTGTGTGTGTTATATTGGAGCGTTACATTTGAAAAAAGTATACTAAGAATTTTTTTTTTTTAAATACATTGGAGTGTTACGTTTGGAAAAAGTATATCAAAGAGTTTTTTTGTGTGTATTACGTTAAAGTGTTACACTAAGAAATTTTTTTGGAATGTTATATTGAAGTGTTACGTTTAAAAAAAATACGCTAAGGAATTTTTTTATGTGTTACATTATAATGTTACACTAAGAAAATTTTGTATATTACATTAGAGTATTACATTAAAAAGTTTTTTTAGAATATTATATTAGAGTGTTACATTTAGGAAAAGTACACTAACGAGTTTTTTTTTTTTTTACATTAGAGTGTTACACTAAGAAGGTTTTTTTGAGTATTATATTAGAGTGCTGCGTTTGAAAAAAATACACTAAGGAGTTTTTTTTTGTGTTACATTAGAATGTTAAACTAAAGAGGGTTTTTTTTAGTATTATATTAAAATGTTACGTTTGGAAAAAATACACTAAGAAATTTTTTTATGTGTTACAATAGAGTGTTACACTAAGGAGGCTTTTTTGAGTGTTATATTAGAGTGTTACGTTTGAAAAAAAATACACTAAGAAGTTTTTTTATGTGTTACATTAGAGTGTTACACTAAGGAAGTTTTTTTTAGTGTTATATTAGAGTGTTACGTTTGGAAAAAAAATACATTAAGGAGCTTTTTTATGTGTTACATTAGAGTGTTACGCTAAGAAGTTCTTTTGGAGTGTTACATTTGTGAAAATTACAATAATGAATTTTTTTATGTGTTACATTAGAGTATTGCGTTAAGATTTGTTCTTTAGTGTTATATTGAAATGTTCACGTTTGAATGTTATATTGAAGTATTACACTTTTTAGTGTGTTAATACGCTTTGTGGATATGAAGCCCCCTATTTTTTATCAATTAAAACTAACATATCACCCGTGCTATATATGGAATTAAATTTTAAAAAAAAAAACTATTTATAATTATGTCAAATATATTTTTAAATTGTTAGCATAAAATATATGTAATTTTAAAAGAAAATATTGACATTGCAGAATTAAAGTAATAAAAATAAGAATTTATTACATTTGTTCGAAATTCACTGAATAAGTAAAACAAAAAATTACTAAAATGTAAATTGTTGTGGGCCTTTGTCACGCCCTCAAAATAATACATATAAACCCACATTCTTGACATGCATAGACATAAGCAAATAAAACATAATTTCCATTCATTAGAGTATTCATTTCAAAACTATTACATGTTGACAACAAAAGTAAATGCCCTATGGGCTTACAACTTTCCAAGTCAACACTTGGGTTCAACAAAAGAAGAGTTCTAACTCTTTATACAAAATAAGTCCTTGGCTTGATATACATGTAATACAAAAGAAGATAACGACAAAAAGATCTTCCGGCCTCTAAGCCTCCCAAGCTACGTCCTTGGAGGTGGCATATCACCTGAACCTGAAAATGATGTCTCATATAGGGTAAGGCAAAGCCCAGTAGAGATATACTAAACCAAATATGAAAAAAATATCATCTGATAGGTGGTTAACACTTATAAACCGATTTACAATACTTTTCAATTCAACATCAAGTACATCCATTTTCATTTCAATTTTCTTCACTTATACAGTTTCAATTCATATTTATGGCTCAGAACCTGGCCAAACAATTCAATGAGACAATAACTCATATTAAAACACTTCCATACTTCAATTAATACACATATTTGCTGTATTAATGGAGTCCGTCCCCTATCCCCTTCCAAATAGGTTTGAGAGTCCATCCCCTATCTCCCCTCAAACCATGGAGTGCATCCCCTATCTCCTCCCAAACAATATACATATACAATGTATTTAAACATTTATCATTTACAATGATCAATCAATACACATATTTGATGTATTATTCCAACCGTCATACTCAATGACATATTTATTGTGATTAGTTTCAGTTTTCCCTAATTAACATACAGTGTCTATAACAATCAAGACTATTCTCCACTGATAGCCCAAAACAGTTATCACTAAATAGATAATAAATTTATCAACAGATAAAATATCGACATTTTCATAGGTGAGTGATTTAAATTATCCAACTACACCATTTACTCCCACAACTCCCCAATTTCATGAATTTCAACTCAATTACCCAAGTTCCCAAAATTAATTATTCAAATTAATTGGTCACATTAAATTAGGGCTTTTCCTCCATTTTTCCCAACGTTAGCCCTAAGGCTCATTTTCATCAATTCAACCACAATAATTCCATTTTTCATAATCTCACATACACATGGATTGTAACATTTGAAAACCCCATTTTTATAACCCCAAATCAAACCCTAACTTTTCTAAAATTACCAAACAACACCAACTAATCAAAATGACTAAAATTTATGTCAAAACTCATAGAATAGAGTAGGTTATCCCTACCTCGAAATGAAGAGACCAAATGGAGGAGATGAAGAAAACCCAAAGTGCTCCAAATCCTCCACTTTTCAGATTAAAGTGAAGCCCTCGCGACCCTCTATCTTTCTTACAAAGAGATTAGGGTAGAAACACTCTAGAAGTAGATGAAACCCTAGAGAGAAGGTGTGTATAGAGAGAGAGAGCCGGATCAAGGGTTTGAACCAAAAGAGATGGAGAAAAAGTGAAGAAGGAGAAGCTGCTGCGAACTGAAATAAACGAGGCTCGTTCGAGCGAAGGAGTGGTCGCTCGAGCGACCAGACACAAAGGATCCTTGCACGAGCGTAGAAAGTCTCGCTCGAGCCAACAATTCGAAGCTTCAGGTCTGCAACCCAGAAGCACGCTCGAGCGAAGAAACCCAAAACATGGTCCTCGCTCGCTCGAGCGAAGGAAAGCTCGCTCGAGCCAAGAATGCAACTCTCAGGTTTAGAACCAGACGCAGACGCAAGCTCGAGCACAAGACTTCTCGCTCGAGCCACTAGACACATCACCCAACTCTCGCTCTAGCGAAGGAACCTTGGCTCGAGCGAAGGAACTAAAACAAAGAGCTCGCTCAAGCGACAAAATCCTCGCTCGAGCGAAGACACCAAAATCTGGGCAGCAACCATTTGTTCCCAAACACAACCAAATTGTTACAAACCTGCCTAACACATCCTAAAACTCAAATACAAGGAATTAAAGGACGGAAAAGAAGCATATACAACAACAGACATCTACGGAACCTAGTCCGGAACACAATAAACAGTGGAGGGAAAACTAGGATCACTATACCCTTAAATAATTTCGTCCCCGAAATTAGTTACAAGTTTCAAAAACATGATTTCTCAATTCCCAACAATATTACAATTCAATAACCAACAACTTGACCCATTACCGGTCATCCCATCTCTATTCAAGAGGCAAATTACAACATATGTTACAACATGCATTATCAACATGCGTCTCTTCGAAATTCAACAAATCTCAATATACATGCCTCACAATTCCACAACATATTCAATGTTAATGATATATTTGCATTTCTATAACACATTCAACATATACAATGCTAAATTAACTTCTATTTTCAAGGCATATTCCATAATCTTCCATAAATCAAAACATATACAATGTTTTACAACTTAAGACATATTCAATGCTCTTAAAGTTTATCAATACAACAAAATTTCCAACACAAGGTTAAACATTAACAAACAAGTCCGGATATTTCTCACGGACTTCCAACTCGCATTCCTAAGTGGCTTCCTCAACCCCGTTATGTTTCCACAAAACTTTTACCAAGGGTATCGTCTTACCTCGCAAGACTTGATCCCGCCTATCCAAGACCCACACCAATCTCTCCTCATACGAGGCATCCTCATCTGCCTCTGAGTCTGTCCAATGTAATACA